CAATAAAAGTTAATTTTTAACTTTTTAAAGCATTGGTAATTAATTTCTTGGATTTCTTTCCACCGTAAGGAAAATAAATTAACCATTAGCCGTGAAAGCCACCACCCGATTGAGACCGTCTATACCGGTCTGAAGTGTCAGTTGTTTACTCGCGGCTAAGCTCAAACCAATCTTGGTACCAGGGCTTTTTCCTTAGAGACTGGGAGTGAAAAGTCCTGAGAACGAGGTTGATCTCAAACCTCCAAATCTACAGATTTGGACTGAGGGACTCCTAGGGGACAGTTTGCGAATGCATCACCAAAAAGGACGTGGACATCACAGCAGTTTTGTAATCGTAACTACATTTGCTTTTTTGGTAGAAATGTTACGTGAACCTGTCTTGTGTGACTTATGTGAACCAAGAGAGAATGATCTAGATCATGCTCTCTTGGTGAACCCAGTGAGGATGCCCTCTCTTGTGCGAACACAGATTTAGGTAATTTTTTTTTGTTTGTTTGTTTGTTTTTTTTGTTTTTGCTATTAAATATCACCTAACCAGACGAGTCTGAAAGTGTTTTTCAGGTTATCCGTTCAGTTTGTGCGTAACGAGAAAACAAACGAAAGCAAGGGTTCTCTCCACGACCAGAGAGGTGCAGTACTCTTTTCTTTGATCTTTTGCAACAGAGTGGAAAAATGCGCGCAACATGTTACGCCACACAGTGCCACGTTCAGGCCTTTACAATGACGAAATTCATTTGTGGTCTTTTTCAGGTAACTGGTCGGTCTAAGCTTTCGATTTCTATTTCCCGGCATGAACCAATGAATGACAGTAATTCCAAACAACACGTTACCATTAACCTCATAACAAGTTTAACTTTTATTTGTTTGCATTAAACATGCTCTTAACGAAAATAAGAATGCAAGTGATTGAAAGCATACCATAATTTATGTAGGTTATCAACACAGTTTTAAATGGCCCTATTAAATACTCATAACTTGTAAATCATACGCACCAAGGAGCAAATGCACACAGTATAAACACATTTTCCCTAATTTTGCCAATACTTAAAGTAATGTGAGAATGAACTTTGCGCAAAGCTAAAGAGCAGAACAGCTTGGCTGAAAGATTGGATGCTTTCAGGAAAACTATAATCGACTAAAGCTTTAAAGGATTACATGACTAGCTATCCGCC